GGGGGGGGTCCGCTCTATATGTGTTTGTGATTTCCTCATCCGTATTGTTCCAAAATTACTCTCCATCATTCCCATGTGTGTATCTTCAGTCTATTCTTGTGTTGTCATTGTGTTCCTTACCCTAATTGTGTATTTAGTCATTGTGTACAATTCCGTGCTGCAAATCTTTATATCCTAACATCAAGTTGTTATGGTGAAACCCATTCTACCCTTTCCCCTCCATCCCTTCCCTCTATTAATTATATATTTACATTATCTTTACTTAACAATTTATCAAACAAAAAATCCTTAATCTATCAAACTAATGTAACCCTATAAAGTGTTCCCCTTGTTACCCTTACCCTCCTCAAGGTTTTAGCTTCCTTGTGTCCTCCTATCACTCCCAGACCCTTCCCTCCATCCCAGACAAGGATATTTCTCCTCCTTTCTACCTGTCATTCATATTTGGTCATATGCAATATTACCAATTAATATATGGAAAAAACTACAATTAATTATATTATTTAAATTTCTCTATTGTTATCAATATGCATTAATTATTTCTGGTTTCTTTCTAGATTGTTATCCCTCTTTATTAATTTCTTATATTCCTCTGACTGTCTATACGCTTCCCACTTTTCCCACACCCTATCGTAATTTGTCTTAATGTCTGCATCCCTTGCACATAATTCCTCCATGTATCTTATTTCTTCCATTATGTTCCCCCAACTTTCTACTGTAGGTAATATTGTGGACTTCCATCCACGTGATATACCTACTCTGGCAGCCGCCATTACAAATCTTAGAATATAATTTTTTATCTTTTTTATGGGACCTGGATACAATGGCAAAGGTGCCATTAAAGGGTCCTTTTCAATATTTGATGCTTCCACTGTACGATATATTTCAAATATTGATTCCCAGAACTGCTGTATTCTCGGGCAACTCCACCAGATATGCAAATATGTCCCTTCCTCAACATTGCACCTCCAGCATCTATCCGATTTTTCTGAGTTAATTTGCTTAATTCCTTCTGGGCACCTATACCATCTAGATACCATTTTATAATTTTTTTCTTGAAGGAATGTGGAGGTGACAGAGCCATGGGCCAAGGTAAATATCCTAGCCCATTCTTTCTCTGATATTTCTCTTCTCAGATCTTGTTCCCATCTTTCCATGTACTTTGTATGTCCTTTGGCCTCCTCCTCCCGCAACAGGCCATATACCACTGACAACATATGCGTGATAGGGGTTTTACTCATGCACAGCTTCTCAAATGGTGTAAATGGTCTATTCAGGGTCTTGTGGGTCCTAAGGCTTCTTATATAGTCTGATAACTGCATTGCTTCAAACCAAAGTTTCACATTAATTTGTCTCTCTGGTCTTAACTCTATTTTCAGCTCTTCTTTTCCTATCTCTAGAACTTGGCATAGTCGCTCCATGGAACTACTCTCCATGTTTAAGAAGGGAACCACCTGCATGCCTGGTGGAAATTGAGGATTTCCTATGATAGGTGTCAGGGGCCCGGGTCTAGAAGATAAATTATATTTAGTAATGGACCTATCCCATACCTGTAACACCGATCTGACCAAAAATGGTAGGGTGTTCCCCTTGGGTCTATGTTCTATTGGCAACCATGGGACTTTAGATTAGGGTTTTTTATGATAATTACCTTATAAGCTATAAAGGCTAATAACAGAGCTAATGTAACAGATTTGGTTCTTTATTTTTGAAGACAAAGAGCAATATGCAGAGAGAAGCAACCACACACTTTCTTTCAGGGTTCTGATTGCTCCATGGTGCTGACTGGAGAATTGTAATTGGTTGTGAGTTACTAAATGCTATTGCTGTTTCCATTACTTTTACAGGTTTTTTTTTCTTGTTTTAATATAAAACACCATATCTCCACCTATGACATTTTCAAACATGTCATATTGCTATTTAGTAAACAGAATCAAACTGCAACATAATACAATAATATGTTGAAACCAAAGACTATTGTAAAGTTTGCCACAAAAGAAAGAACCAAAATCATACACATTGTGTAAAAGCCTAATATGTGCACCAATAGGCATTCATCAGACTACCGTTATATTCACAAACTCCACCCACATAAACAGTGCCATTTTATATAATAGGAAAAATCTGTTAATATTATATTTCAGGTAGCATACTTTCAGTATATATATATACACCAATGTATTAATAGTACAGTCTGTGGTCCCAGTAGTTTAAATAATAGCACCACACACAGAACAATAAACTGTAAACTACATTTCCCCCCTTACCTTCACGCGGCTAACAGCCTCCTGTGCTTGCATCATCCTGATGTTTTTTGACGGATTACGTTCTGACAATAGCTGAGTGGAACCCAAGAAATTGGCTGCAAAAATGATTCCATCGATAAGATCCTCTGGCTCACAGGGACCAGGCACTAGAATAAAAGAATATCCAACAGTTAAGATAAACTAATAAAATCATTGATCAATAGATTTTTCTAAAGCTAGCTGCAGACAAATGGTGGTCAGGTATGCTGTACGATCTGACCACAGACATGTATGTCCAAACTGGCTAACCATATATACGTTTATGGAGGAAGGCAGAGAAGTACGTAAGTACTGCATTACTTGAAGTACTTCCAGCACTGCATTATCTCAGAGCTATAATAATATTAATAAGCCAATCACTTAATTCTCCCCATGAGAAATCTTCACCAGGTAATGTCTGTCAAGTACAGGAGTGCCTGCAGACATGCTGTGGCTGCCCAATAAATGTGTCCTGAACCTATGGGACATGGCTGATTCTATGAGGTTTCTTTACTAAAGACAAATAGGCTGTTCACTTTTAAAGGGAATTTGCACTTTACAAGGGAAATTTCACTTAGTTTACTGACTGTGATGAAGCTCTGCTGAATTCCATCATCCAATCATGTGCAAGCAAAAATGCTGTTTATTTTCCTTGCATATCATTGGGTATTCTTTGCAAAGTGAATTTTCACCACATTCAAGTTAAGGGAAAATTATCTTGCAAGTCAACAGCCTATCTGCCTTTAATAAATCAGCCCCAATGTCTGTAAACACCTGAATTGCTCGGGTGACCATTGTCTTTGTGAGAGAAGCAAATTAGAAACGTTAAATTTTTACCAGAAAAGAAGGTAATGGTAAGTCTTCCAATCGGGCACTTGTTTCTCTAACAACTGTCTAAGACAGGAATCCACTAAAGAGGCTTCCTCACAGTACATGTTTTGTCTCCAGGACAAAAAATTAAGGAAAATCTCAAACAGCAAAAAACTCACTGACAGTGGTATATAAAACTTAAAAACCTTTTGACTGCACATACACTTTAAGGCTAAGCCTGCAGAATATCACCTTGTGTTATGCAGGTACAATTCTGCCCAAGCTGTAAAACCTATCTGAGCGGGTTCCCCACCAAGGCAAGCAAATTATATCAATGGGATGTCATGGCTGAAACTCTGGATACAGTGAAAGCATTGTAGCACCTCATGAACACAGAAGTGTGTACTAAGCCATTCAGCTCTGGTAGTTGGGGACCCTGTAAAGGTAGCCTAAATCTGATAATAACATTCATCAAGCTATTAGTAGTAGTAAGCCTGGCATTACTAGAAGCACACTTAGAACAAATAGTAAGCATTAACTCATGTATACAGTCAAAATGTTTTATGTCCCCATTTCCTCTGATAAATTAATTTTAAAATTTCACTTATATATACATATTTATTATTATTAAAAATGTAATGTGTGACAAGAATATAGCTGCATAGTTGATTCCCAAGCATTATTATCCTGTTGCCTTAAAACAAACAAAATATGTTATTCACATTTAATAATTCTCCTCCCACATGCTTCCTATTAGACTCATCATTTATGGTACCTAGTGGATTCGCATGGTGAACCTTGCCCTTTTAAATTATCTGGACCCACACACCAATGAGCTAGGTATTGTCCAAATAATATATCAACACAGTACCATTTATTTTACTAATCTTTTACAACACAAACAGCACTGTATATGTGTACAATTTAATTAATTCCTTTGTATTCTAAAATTTAAGGATCAGCCTGCAATAGCGAACACGCTTGTTTCACTTGTCCTGATGTAGGGCACCCTTCTGCTGCTTCCCCCATGATACAGAATAAATTAAAAATTGGCTGTCCTTGGAGCACAAGCTTAAGTTTTGAAAGGAATCCTGCAAGCTGAAAGGCTTTACCCAACATTGTTTTGAAGATATGCATAAAGATAATATGGCAATCTCCACTAGTGTCTCATAGGAGTAAATGCTGAATGTGCAACTCAGATAAAACATTTCAGTTATATAACTTACATGATATGTTATGTATGTAGCACCTGACTGACACGTTCTGTTTGCTTCGCTATTCAAATGTAACTTGAAGTCATCCTTGCGCACCAAATGGTTATTGCTAATTTGAGTCTGAAAGGTCATTTGGTACATGCAAAAAGACATATGCTTGACTGCAGCCACAAAGCCAAAAGCAGCATGGATTCCCCTCATCTCATGATTCAGCTGGAAACCTGCTCTTGTCCATTGAATCATTTATTTTTCTAAATAGTGTTCAGTGCTAAAAAATCTACAAGCTTTTTATTGCAAGATCACTGATATGTCAAACTACAAAGTGGTCTAAAAGAGAGAGGGCTTTCGGATGATTTTGTATTCCTGGTACGCACTCATTCTGCTTGGCCCCTGTAATGTCATCTAAAAGACCTTGTTTATACAGTACATTAGATTAAAGCAGCATGCCCATCATTCTGTTCCATAGTTTGGACAAACAGTTTGTAACCTGCCATAAAATACCCTTTTCTCTGAGTAGAAATGCTGCGTTCTGACTCACACTCCAGTGCTCTATGCTGCAATATCTGAGTAATAGCCATAGCCCTTTTGTAAGACTACCAAAATGAAGGTTGTTAGTACAATGTGTATCTGACAGCATATCTATTTTAGCTGCTTCAACTGGGCTTCAATAGACTGAGGGAAATTGTGTTTTTTATAATGGCTTAAATTTAAAGTGTGTGTAGTTTACAATTGCAATATATAGCAATAATTAAATTAAAGCAAGTTTTACAAACTGCAGAACTTGGTTCCTGCAGGAGAAGATGCTCAATACTTACTTCATTAGCAACCAGCAAGCCAGAACTCTAGTTTCTTCAAGCAGTTCAGTACAGGCAAAGTCTGCAGCATTTGACACTTTCGGTAGTGTTAAATGCCTGAATACCTTGCCACATGCCACGTTTCCTTCTGCTGACTCCTACGTCACTATTGAGTTCTGTATTGACATAGGAGTTGACATGAGGAACCATGGAGCACAGAGGAGGATGTAGGCATTTGACATTCCAGCAAGTGTTAAATGCAGAAGCCTTTGCTGGAGCCTGTAATGCTTATAGACAGCAGACTTTGGACTCTCTGCCAGAAAGATAAGAACTTAGGTTTTGTGTTGATAATAAAAATATATAAGATATCAGCTAGAAAAATATTAGAGCGGCCACCATTTTTAAACAAATATATCCATCCTTATTTCCTTTGTTGCTCAATGAACAACTAGGCATATTAGAGTTAGTGGAAAAATAAAAGATCTACTGGCAGGATCAACAGCTGATAAAACTATGCTACAGAGAGGAAACAGACTGTGTAAATGCTAATAACAGATTGCATAATATATGTAATTATTTAAATTTTGTCTTTAGTTACACTTTAATCATGGTTTTAATGATAGGTCTAAAAATGTTTTCAACATCGAAACAAAAAAAGACTACATTTTTTATATCTTGCTCTGTTTGGGTACACTTTGTAGAGGATTGATCATCAGTGGATGTACATAACTCTAATAAGATTAATTAAAAACTAAATTGGGAAAGGTATATACTATAAAATAATATTCTTACTCTTAAGAGTTTTTAATGCTTGCTATGTAAAAATGAATTTAAAATGGAAAAATAAATAAGAAGCCAAATGTACTGATAGGCAGCCGTTGCTGAACGTTTTTTGGAAAGAAATGTATTTCAAATCAAATGATTGCATATTCTGAAAAGGGCCATAAAAGTAAAATTAGGATTTGCACCTGCAAGTACTCGGTGCATTTCAATATGAAAACTGCCTTACAAATAAATAGGCAAATGTTGTTTGTAATTGACCCACAGCAGTGGTAATATGGCATTTTGCCTATGCTGTTTATGGAAATGAACAATTTCCACATAGCAATGTAAATAGTCACCAGTATATGATAGAACTCATAAAATATGAATGCATCTACAAAGCTTTTAATATAAAACTTTCTTTCATAAAACAGGCTGAGAATTCAGCTACAAATTCTAAGTGTATAATTTACAGACACGTTGGATAAGCGTTTAAATTTCAGATGCCCTTTGATATTATGCAAGTTAAGGTATCCGTGTTTAAAGATTATTACCAATGCAGAAATTATCTTTTTTTTTATTGGAATGGCATGTGGAATGTTAATGATGTTCTGAATAAGAAATGAACAGAATAGTGAAATAACTACCACTAACACTCTGCAGAGAAAATCAGGCAGGCTGTGTCATTTACTCTCTATTATTTTCTGGGGTAAATGTGCAGGCAGTATAAATCAACATTTATACACAACTATTCTGTAACTGTAAGATTTTCCGAAGCCAACATGAAAATGTGCAGTTTCATAGTAATGAAAACAATAACATAAAAAAAATTGCCTTGTATTTTTTTCTGAACATACAAAATGGAAATCTTCTAAGCACTCTTCACATCCACATTTATATAATATATAAATATATATAGTAGTAATAATCTATTATAAATATATAATAGATATATATATATATAATATATAAAAAAGACAAGCTTTCGAGAGTTGACCTCTCTTCTTCAGGTCAGAAGCAATCTTGACCTCTTTTCAGACTATACATATGTTTGCTGTTTATAGGGTTTTTATGCCTCTAGATGCTTCCACATGTGTGTAACCATATAAAGGAACCCTGTCTTAAGAAATATGAATGCTATCATTGCTGACATCCTGGCTGCCATGTTAATTCTCTGGCTTCAGTGCTTTCTGAGTCTCAAGTTTCACGTGAAAGGTAAAAGCTGGTGTAAACTGCCCTTGTCTATAATGGGACTGGTTAACTTAATTAAAATTATTTGGCTACCTCGACCAGCTCTCTCTACTCCTCCCTCCCCCCTCAAGAAATATTTGCCCTCTAAATTTCAGCAATCTGATTTTTTTTTAAATGAGTCATGGTAACTCTTTGTCGCCTGACTGATTGTTAGGTAGGCTTGAGCAGCAGCAAGTTGAGCTGTATGGAGACGGTAATGGATAAAAAAAAGTGCACCGTGTCTTTTTGTGTTTGAGCAGTACCTCAAGAATAATAAGGTGATTGCATGAAATTAAGAACACTGTATCTCTGTATTGC